TTCATGCACCTTTTAATATGAGAAGGAAAGTTAAAATAACTTTATGTAATAATACTAAATAATAATTATTATCATTGATTATATTTGTTATTATAGTATTTAATGTTTGAATTGGTTTTTATAGTTTTATTTTTAGTTAATTTTGAATTTAATTTTTTTTTGTAATTTTGCAATGTGCTTTTGTCATTTTGTCTTGTTTAAATTTCTATATAGCTTTAATAAATTTTTTTAAGATATATATATTTTTTCAGTTTTAGTCATTTTAGTGCTTCAACTTACTAACAAACAACTTAAAACAACAAACATACTCATTTCAGTTAGTTGCCAAGACAACCTTTTTAATTTTCATTTAAGTTTTGTTTCTGTTTATATTTGTAAAAAAAAACAAAAAAAAAAAACGATAATTATGTAATTTATTTCATTTTTTATTTCCATATGTCTCTTTTCCCTGAATTGCTCAACTAATGCTAATCAAGGGGTTTTGGTCCAAACAATTTTAGTTCTCTTTTATGTCTATTCACAAACTTTTCTCTAACATTAGTCATACGTTGCTATACACAACATTATAAGGCACAACAAACCAAGTCTTAAATGCCATAAATGGAGAAGAAACCATTTCATAGTACCCTTCTATTAAACGGTAATGCTATAAAGAGGTCTGTGGCCACACACAAAAAAAGCCCACAAGAGACACCGCACCTCCCATAAAACGGCAGCCACTTGGCTGGCAGACTCTTTGACATCGATTTAGAACGGCTTCTCCCTGAAGATTTATATGCTTATATCGATGTCAAAGGTAGACGTGTGTCTCTGCGATAGTAGCACCTGCCTGCGAGTTTGGACCAACATTTGACTTGGAAATGAATGGTACCTTTCACGTGGTTGAGGGCATTCCAGCTTGGATAAAAACCCTGTTGCCACGGCCCAACATGGACCCAGTGATGTCCAGCTTCAGCTTATGAATTTGGATAACTCAAGCCAGGCTAGAAGCTGCAGTATTGAGTTCATGAATAAATATGTTTGTATCAAACCAGCTACTGGCAACTTGTGTGATGTCTGACAGTCTAAGGCCTGCTTTTATTCTCGCTTATTTACATTCATCAAATGATTTTGCTCTGCTTGACAGTGTGTTATTCATTTTGAGATTGAGATTGAAGACCCGATGAAATCAGAATTGGTTTTAGTTTATGTCTGTTAGCCATTTATGCTTTTGCTCCTAAAATTCAACATAAAAGTGCATATATAAATTTGATGTCTTTTTGTTCTTGGTAAGTGGGCTACGAAAATATTGAAGATGACTTCTGTACTACAAATTTTTGTCCAATCAGATACTCCCTAGCAAGAGAGCCCAACAGCAACTGACAAGTAGCAAATCAAAGTCATGGCTGTGACTGTAACTAAAACCTATTGGTTATTTAAAAAAATGAAAGTGGACTAGCCCTTTGATATTTGCTTTTCAAGTTTTTTTTTAAAGGGGTCATATGATGCTGCTAAAAAGAACATTATTTTGTGTATTTGGTGTAATGAAATGTGTTTATGCGGTTTAAGGTTAAAAAAAACACATTATTTTCCACATACTGTACATTATTATTTCTCCTCTATGCCCCGCCTTTCTGAAACGCGTCGATTTTTACAAACAAATGACAAACAACAAGTGCTACTCTACACTGCTCAAAACTCGCGTTTGAATTGTCATTTGTCAGTGGCAAATTCTTTAAATATAAAAAACGTATTTGGCGTGCACATTTGGGCGGCGTTATGCAAATCTTCCCACATTGTGACGTAAACATGTGGGGGTGTGTTGGAACGAGCCGTTTTAGGTAGGCGTGGTTGAATCTTAACTTTTATAAAGAATATCTCTTTGGATTTGAGACTTTAGTCTTTGCAACTTTACAGATCTTCTTTATGCACCAAGAGCTTGTAACACTCCAAAGAGAAAGGAAAAATTGAAATCGCATCATATGACCCCTTTAAAGGGATTGTTCACCCAAAAATGAAAATTCTGTCTTTATTTACTCACCCTTAATTTTTTAAACCAGTATGATTTTCTTTCTTCTGTTGAACACAAAAGATGACAGTTGACGGTAGACATTGACTTTTATATTACGAAAAAAAAAATACAACTGAAGTCAATGGCTACTGTCAACTATTTGGTTACCAACGTTCTTCAAAACATCTTCTTTTGCTTTTAACAGAAGAAAGTAATCGGTAAGTACAATTTGTAGTGTCATGTGTATGTATGAAGATAATCAAACTTCGACCCACTGTTTCTCAGTGTTCATCTGGGGCCCGCTGACCACACTTTATTTGACAATACTGTGGCGACTAGCTAGAAAGCTTGCGTTAATAATGCTGTCTACGCTACAAGCAACTGTGTTGATCATAATGCCATATATACAGATTTGTTTTATTATAATGGGGCGTTCCAATTTTGTCACACAGCATGCCACATTGCAGACAGACCAAATATAATATGGTGTATATAATATATACATTACATATATACCATTTAAATATTTGTGGTCAGTACCTCCAGTTGTGCTCTGAGCTGCTTTTTCCATAGATGTAAATCCATATCCAAACAAGTGATGCCTGTATATTTGGGGGAAAATGCTTGTAATGCAAATTTAGCTTATAGTGGAGTTAGCTCTGTGGTGAAACTCCACAATGTTTGTGATTATAACGTCTTATCTTAGTTCATCTGAAATGATCCTCTGCGATGGATGTCCACTAATACAGCCGCCTAAACTCACTCCTACCTGAGTGACCTTTTCCTCCTCTTTGATATCAGCTCCAGGAACATGTGTACTACTTGCAAACTCCAGCCTCACCTCAGGTGAGACTAGTGGATTTCCGCAGGAGGCTGCAATACCAATTTCTGCAAAATGAGGAGGGATGGTCTGCTATTTGGACGGTATTTCTGCTCACAGACTGCCTGTCAAACATCCCAGCTTGAGTTCAGCAGGGAAACGCATGCAGTGCGTTGCCACAGTGACAAGCAGCCGCTCAGAAAAATGGTTATCCATGTGACTGGTGAGGCCGATCATGTGGACAGGCTGTAGGTTTGGAGGAAGATGTGTCTTTATCACGATGGTGACGTTCTCATCAGCTAATGTCAGATCCTGATGGTTTGTGATCTGTTACCTTGGTTGCAGTATGAGATAACCATGGTGACCTCACTTTTTTGTGATGGTGTAAATGGAACAAGGAATCAATTAGTCCACGGGCCACGAGTAGGGTCTCTGTAGGTCCCCCTGCAGGGTCAGACTGCCATACGGGCCACCAGGAAGGGATTTAATGAGGTCATCATATCATATGACTGAGTGTCTTTGTTTTTATTGGGAGGTCAGGTGATCACATGGCTTGGTAAGGTCAGGGTTGAGTTTAAATTCCTTAATCTTGACATACTTTTTATGAGTTTTTCAGTACCAAAGGAATCTGCCCTTTTTCTTTTTTTTTAAAGGTCTGATGGCCTCAAATGCCCCGTGTTGTTTTTAGACCCCCAATCCATTAAAGAGACGCCTGGATCAAGACAAATTACCTTTGTCTCCAGATGACATGAAGCCATTAATGTCCACTGCCAATCATGTTTCAAACATAACTGATAACAGAAATCTGTCACGTAGTGACAATAGTAATAATAGTGATTTTACATGATCTATATTCTGTTACACCAAATACACAAAATAATGATCTTTAAAAAAGCATCATATGACCCCTTTAAAATAATATTTAAATTATTAAAAATGCTTTCTACAACAAAATTAATAACTATCTGTTAAATTAAAAATGTAATCTAATTTAATACTTCTTCATTTCTAATTTTATTTTTCATCATATATTTTATGGTAGCATATAGTTAACATATATTAATAGATTTTTACAATAGTATTTTACATCATTTTTTCCCAGTAAAATTACTTTCTTTTTTTTTTAATACATAATTTTCTTCAGAGGTTTTTTCCAAGTATCTAAGCAAGTCTTTACTTTTGAGAAATACTCAATTTAAACACCCTACGTTCATATATGCTTTATTAATATATTAATGTAATGCACAAAGATTGAAAAGTGAAGATTGAGTCTTTCTCTGACTGGCATCAGCCAAACCAAGCAGAATCGTGGGGATTTTGGCCCTCAGCCCAGTATTGAACTGACTTTAGTGCTCTTGAACAAAGCACTTAAACTGAATTGCTTCAGAGAAATCTTTGGGTTTATGGATGCAAGGTTCATATAAATTATTTGTGTTCTGCAAATTCTAACATCAGAGCTCTCCAGAGCACATCAGAACTGCTGAGCGGAATGCTTTCCTCTGATGGTCTCTGGCTGGTTCGCCAAGGTTGCAAATCAGCAGGGACCTTGCAGTATATTATATTGATATCTGGGTCATGTTATGATAGTATTGCATTTTTAAAAATGTTTGGTGTTTATTTAATGAAAACTAGTATATTGCTATCTTTTACTGGCATGTTTCTGTTCATTAGATTTTGTTTTTAAAAGAAGTCTCATCGCTTTTTGTGAGATAATATTTTCAGATAACGGTTTTGTTTTTCTCCTAACCCATTTGGGAAATATCAATGATGTTATCCTGACTGGGCATTACAAATTCTTCGAAATCGCTTTTAGCTCAAAGGAAAAGCATTTAATGAAATGAACAACTTTCTGCTTTGCTCTGAGAACTTTCTGATGTTCTTGATCAGAGGCCCATAAAACAACACTGCTTTGTTTTTCAAGCTATTGATTGCGGAGTTGGTTTGTGTCTCAAAGGCAGTGCTTTGCCTCAGGCCATTTCTCCTTGTTAAACCTTCGTTCTGTTGCACATCCCTTCGTTTTACATTAGTTCTGTTTCCTCTGAAAATATTTTGATTGCCCATGTAACCTCTTAGAAATGTACAGAAATGTTTGGGTCAAGAGACTGCAGCTTGATCGTTTGCATATTTGTGTTTGTTTGCGTTTGGACATCCGAACACTCATTATTTGCTTTTGTTTGTTTCCAAACAAAGTACCGGACGACCTGACGCCAGAGGAGAAGCAGGAACTGGAGAATATTAGGAGACGAAAACAGGAGCTGCTGGAGGACATACAGGTAATATCATCAGATTATTTCTCTGAAATCACTTCTTTTTCTGCCCCAAAAATAATGTGAATCCTCAGCCAGTGTCGCTAGTTTTGAGTGTTTTTGCTCTTTGAACTGTTGGATGTCTCATAATACTAATTAATATCACCAAATCAACCTTATACCCTTCTATCCCCCCTCTCTTGGCCCTGGGCAAGGCAGCTAGAGTGAGATGGACCTGTAGAGAATAGAAATTGGATCATGGGAGGGGTTTCCATGACCCTGGCTGTACAGTTTTAGTGTACAGGATTGATGGGATGTCCCACCCTTGGGTATAGACTTTAACAACTGGCTCGTGAAGGGGGGCGGTATGCTTTGGAGCAGATGGTGCAAGCCAAGTCCAGCAAATTCAATTATGCTGATTCTATTACGCAACTGGAATGTCAACCAATAATGCCCCTCCTGCCAACCACTGTCCCTTGCGTCTCTTAAATGACTTAATCAATCAAGTAAACCTCCAAATGAAGTTTGGTGGCATATCTTTGGCAATCATCTTTGCCACTAACTGGCAGATCCATTCCAGTCTCCTGCTATTTCCTGATTGCCCTTGAACAGCATGACTGCCATCAGCAGAGGAATCCCTCTCTATTAGATTAGTCATCTTTACTCTTATTAAATTAGACATTTATTTATTTATTGCTTTTCTGAAATCAGGTTTTATTTATATATTTTTTAATTTAGGACTTTAATATGTTCTATATTTATTTAATTTTATTTGATTTAGAAATTTGTCATACGATAGCAGTCTTGATACTGACATCTTAATTTTTGCTCAGTCCACATCTTATAATAACCACGCCTGCATTTATTTGATCAAAAATAAATGTATTACAATTTAAAATAACTGTTTTCTATTGTAATATATTTCGTAATTTATTTGAACTTTATTCAATGTAATTTATTCCTGAATTTTGAGCGGCTATTACTCCAGTCGTCAGTGTCACCAGATCCTTCAGTCATTCTAAAATACTGATTTGGAAACATTTCTTATTATTATCAATGTTGAAAACAGTTGTGCTGCTTAATATTTTTGTAAAAACATTTTTTATGATTCTTTGATAATTAGAAGATTCAAGTCAATGGCATTTATTTGAAGTAGAAACCTTTTGTAACACTATATTTAACACTATATTTGATCAATTTAATGCATCCTTGCTAAATAAAATATTCATTTCTTTTAAAAACAAAAAGAATCTTACTAAATTTTTTGTATTGTATGTCAAAATATCTGTCAAAAGTAGTTCAAAACTGTTTTTATTTTATTATACTTTAAAGCTTTACATGTTTAACATTGCAATCTGTGCGAAGCATTTGAGGTGCCATAACAGAGTCAGTACAAGCTCAGCTTTATGAATTTTTTATTTTATTGTTGAAAAATGTCTGTGTCTGGCTGAGTAAGATTCCTGGGAGTGTCGTGATGAGCCTGTAGCAGAGGATTTCTTTTTGCCTTACTCTCTATAAATGTGGAGATACAGACAGACAGTAGAGGAATTTCTGTCTCGCCGACAAACAGTAGTAGATGAGTTAACTGGAGCGTTATAAGACCCCAGTCTCTCCTTCACATGAGTGGAGGTTGTGATGGGTCATGATCAGAGAAGACTGATCCAGTCAGCTCAATATAGCAGACCACCTCCTCTCTAGACCCTCTTACACTCTTAATGAGGAGCCGTGTGATGCTGCCCAGTGCCCACTGCCAGACCCTCCCTCTAACCTGAAGACACAAGTCGGGCGGTACAGCATTCATGATGGGTAACCATGCTAAGATTTCAGTGGTGAATACCAAGACAAACACCAATATGCTGTTGAACGCAATCCTTTGAGTATTTCTTCAGATGTCCTTGCTTTTTTGATCAGGATACTTTCTCTCACACCAAGTCATGGTCTGATCTGAATCAGGTCAGCTTTGCTATATTATTAGTCCTCTCAAGTGAAAGAGACTAGACAGAACTTTAGCTCTCATGTATAAGTAAACATCTGTCATTTCCCAGAGTGCTTCTGATTTTCATTACAGTAACCAGTGAGTTTGAAAATCAATGCTTGGCTGTTTGAACTAAATGGTTTTTGTTTGCGCTCACTGAACCGGCAGTGTTCAGACATTCTGCGGATCCAATCTGGCTCTGTCTTTTGTGTCCGGCGCTACGGGATGCAGCCCCTGAAGGCCTTGCGTGGTTATCGATGATACCGTCGCCTCTGTCAGTCCAATTAGGGTTAGCCGAAGCTGATCGATGCTGTGTGTGAGATGGCACATCTCTGGATTTTTAGGTGGTCTGACATTTGAAGTTTGGAGAAATATAGATTGTTGAGGAATAAGGGTAAAATTAATGGTTAGAAATATTTTGTTCATGACATTTGCATTTACTTGAAGATTTTATTTTTTATTTTTTATTTTTCTTAATAGAGTTTGGGTCAATTAAAAATCGTTTAAGTGATCTTAAGTTTTTTTTTTGTTTGTTTCTTTTAAAACACATTTTATATATTTGTTTCTTAATAAAGACGTTTTGCTTAGTTTAAGCCATAATCTTACAATTGTAAACTATTTTTTAAACTATTTATTTTTTTAATACACTTTGGCTCAATTAAACCAATAGTAATCTTATATGGTTTTTTTAAATATATTTTTTCCTAATACATTTTGCTCAATTAACACCATAGTGGTCTTGTTTTTTTTTTTTTTTTAAGATACTTTTTCATAATAGAGTATGGCTCAGTTAAAGCCAAAATGATCATCACAAATGATGGTGCACTTTATATCAGCATTACAACAGCATTATTTGTTGAAATTTTTAAAATATATCTAAGTGCTGTACTCTTAATAGAAGCATAAGCACATTGAGCTAAATATATTGCAAATGAATGGATGTGCATAACTTTGTGTCTAAAAAAATGGGAAGTGATGGTGGGTATACGTTTCATGTACTAAAAAAAAAAATCGATTAACCAAATGGTTCCAGGTGTCCTCCTTTGATTCCAGCAGGATGATTAGTAAATTGTTCATGTAATATTTGTCTAATGGAGATGAAGTGCCCGATTAAAGAGATTGAACAGCCAAGCGCAACCTCTCTGTCTCAATAGAGCCCTGCTGGACAGTCCTGGTTCCTTCCTGGTCTAGCTGGAACATTCTGGCTGTTGCCAAGAGACATTAAATGCATTGCATAAGGATAAAAAGAACGAAAAAGTGTGGGCTGACAACTTGTAGTGTTTGTTTACATGTTACCTTTATATGGCAGCTGTTGCCTAGCAACACTCGGATATAACATCATTATCATGACCACTTTATTCCATCTTTGTGCCTGCTGCCGTCTTCCCAGCTCTGAGAGGAGTTCAGAAAAACTTTCTGATTCACTGCACTATTTGTAGTGACTTTCCATGCCTTCTAAAGACGTTTTAGACTGAAACAGGACATATTTAAGTCCTAAAAATGTACCAGATTAATAGCGTGATTTCTTCGTTCCCAGATTCTTGGTCTCTTCTGACCTCTAGGATAGTCCTCTCTATAACCCATTGATTTCTTTAACACATTTCTTCATAGAGCCCCAAAAGCACTTGTCTGGGTCAGGTATTTCCAGCTGCACTCCTGTCATGAGGTTTCGGGGTCATTCACACACTCCGAAAATGTATAGCGGAGGAAGGTCAGATGTTAAAAGACTACTTACTTGACCTTTCCAGGTGCTATAGCTCGAGAGGGATGTAGTGTTAATGCAGAATGCATCAAAAGGGCATAGGTGTGTGTGTGTGTGTCTGCGTGTCTCTGTATGTGAGTGCGTATCCTTGGTGGATTGGTAATATGAGTCTTATTGATCTGTGCCTGGGCTGCTTCAGGAAGATGGATTGCTGAGAGTGTTATTATGGCACACACACTGACTATACACGCTTGCAGTACACAGTCTCGCATGTGGATCATACAGTATAATTCACTTTATATAGAACAAATGAAAGTGCATTTACAGTAATACACCAGCAACATACGTCTGCTCACCCACATTCAAAACACTGCTGCCGTAAGTCACATGTATCTGAATGTGGATTTATGTTACTTATACACACTTTCAGTGACAAGATACCAAATGCCTTTAATTGATGGCAGCAAAAGATCACAATTCTCAAAAAAAATTTAATACCAAACCAAAAACAAACATTCCATTGAACATGCCCTTTTAAGTAGATACATATTAATTTAAATATTAGCACTAACACTAACAGGAGGTGTCCATTTATTTATCAATTTAACAATTCTTTGACAGTTTTATTATTGATTTTATTATTTTATTAGGTTAATAAAGTAAAGAATTAAAGAACAAACAAGCAAATATTTATTATAGTATAAATATAGTATATTAATTATAGACAGAGAGAGAGAAATCATTGTGAATTTCTTTTTATCATACACACACGCGCACACACACACACTCATCACCATGCTCTTGCTCATCTACCCTCTTGATCTCTTTATTACTCCTTCTTGTTTTTCACCCCTGTCCCCCCTTTCCCTTCCTCCTTACAAATGCTACTTCATCTTGATATCTAATGCAGGTGCCACACTGTGCCGTGATTGAATGTTTCATACTCTTGATAATCATATTAGATATTTATGATCCTCTGTGTGTTCATTTTATTAGATTCACGACTCTCCATCACTTCCTGTGGCAGACTGACTTTGAAAGGGACGTCAGAGGGCAGCTCCACCTTCAGTTCTCCTTTCGATTAACTCAGCCATATTTTCCTTTTCTCTTTTTTTTTTTTTTAATAGCGGCTGAAGGATGATATAGCAAAGGTGACAAATGAAATCCAAAGTCTTGGCTCCACTCAAGAAAGGTAAGATGAGTGATTTTATTTTTCATTGTTTAGTACGGTCCAATCCAATTTGTCCACTTTCAACTGGTGTTCGCTGTCTGATTCTGCCATATTCACACTCAAATGCACATTCTCCATTTACTCATAAGCAACCACAGAGGAATTACACACACATACTCAGTCTTTCCCGTCCCCTGTTTGAATATTTAATGACAGTGCCCCCTGCGGGAGGGGAGGCTTGTGAATTATGTACAGCTGTTTTGGTAAGAAAGGATGTAATTTGTGTAAATTGACTGAGATGTGTTCAGGACTTTGCAAGAATGTGTATTAATGTCATGCAGTATGTTTCTATTTACAGTTACATTTTATAAAGGAAAAGGATTTCAAACAGGATGTATCCTAATGATGAATTCTAACACTTTGATTTAATGCAGTCTGAGGGGATGTTCACACAGAACACATTTTCGTATTACACTGCGCTGCTTTTCCATTGTTTTTCTTGTAAACATGCACTAGACAGATGCGTTTGACGTTGCGCTCATATTAGGGTTGGGACGATAGACGATGTCATCGTCCATCGCCAATGGCTAACAGACATCACGATGTTAAGCTGACATCGTGATTCCCCCACCCCCTCTCCCACAATCCGCCGCATCCCAGTTCCGTGTTTGGAAAGGAAATGAAGTGTACTACGGAAAACCTAAAGGGAATAAATAGCCTACGAGATGGGAGGATAAAAAAAATATTTCAATACTTTTTCTCGCAATTATATCGTTGGGTAAGTATAGGCGACTGTATATAAATTGCGGGCATCAGGCAGTCGCTATTGAAACCGCTTTCGATTGCGATCGCATTTTACTTTCACTTTCACTTTTGAGATTCGCGATCACAAGGACTTTATACTATGGAGCGGCAGTACTTACCACACATTTGACAAGATTAGATGTTTGTCATTGGTGTTCAGGATCTGCAAATCATTCGCCATCATCCTATCAGACATTTTTCCTTACTCTGTGTATGTGGTAAGTGAACTTTCATGTACTGTAATGCAACAGGCTACCGCTAGCAAGCGGCTAACCTTTTAGTGGCTCCGTAGAAGCGTTATTTGTTTCATGCTTCGGGCACACCCCTCCCCCCGCCCCGCCCCCCGATGTCATCGTCCATCACGATGTTTCACTGCAGACATCGTTCGATGCCATTTTGGTAGACATCGCCCAACCCTAGCTCACATCTCAGGACTTTTGCAGCATCTCATGCTAAAAGTTAAAAGAAGTGCAACTTTAAAAAAGACATTGCTTATTTCTCCATTCCACTGCACATGTCTTGCGTTTTTCAATGCAAAAACGCCTTCTGTGTGAATGGCCCCTGATACTGCCTGACTTCAGTGACCCATATTCCCAGACCAACCAGAATCGCATCAAAGAATATACATCATATTGAATCAGGCCCATTCATTATACATGATGCATGATCCCACTGGGGCCGAACACTTCACAGGAATGCCCACTTTGATTCACATGAGGGCCATTTGGATGGAAGAAAACCATTTTCAGAAAGTGTTCCATGTTGTTAACCTTCCTTTTATGAAATTCTTTTGTCGTTTTTTGTTCCTCCACCTTGAGTGATGCCATGTGGCCACAATGGAAAGTACAGTAGTGTGCGGCCCTTTACAGGCTGTGACTTTTAACATTACATGTCACACCACCATCCAAAAGTGCATTTGGCTGTGTGGTTATTAATGATGTCATCATGAGGCCCTTACAGGCATAGGTGTTGTACAACTCCATTCCCTGAGTTTTAGCTTTAGATTGCAGCTGTCCTACCTACCCAGCATTAATAAAGCCCTCATCTTTCTGTGTTTACAGAATAAACATGCAGCGGAGTAAACAGATGGCTATGGGCCGCAAGAAATTTAACATGGATCCCAAAAAGGTAAACAAGAGTTGGGGTGTAATACAAGAAGCATCTATTTTTTTGTATTTGAAGTTTTCTCCATCACAGACATTCTCTGATATGCTTTGGTAAAGAAAATGATCCCCCATTATATAAAATGCATTGCCATTTTGCATTTTTAAACCTTTGATCTCGTGTGGGTGCACATATTATCATAAGCACACGCTAAGCATCATGCAACCACACAATTTTCAGTTCATTTCCATAGATTTACCAGAATCCAATCTCGTAGGTTAAAGTTCAAAGAGCAGGATTAGAGCAGAGGAAAGAGACTGATTTTTTGTAATGTACTTTGCAAACACGAAACTGTGAAACTATAATGTATGCGTGTAGGGTTGCTTTATGCTGAATGTGTTTTTCTCAGGGTATTCAGTTCCTCATAGAGAATGAATTGCTGAAGAACACTTGTGAAGATATTGCTCAGTTCCTCTACAAGGGTGAGGGCCTCAACAAGACAGCCATCGGAGATTATCTGGGTGAAAGGTAAGAACGAGTCATGAGAAAGACACAGCTTCTGAAGTCTTAATAAATACATTCAAAACGTGGAAGAAATATTTTTAGACAAACATTTTAAACAGAACAGTTATTAGCATTGATAATAATACAAAATGTTTCTTTAGCACCAAATCAGAATATTAGAATGATTTCTGAAAGATCATGTGACACTGAAGACTGGAGTAATGGCTGCTGAAAATTCAGCTATGCCATCACAGGATTAAATTACATTTTAAAATATATTAAAATAGAAAACAGTTATTTGAAATTGTAATAATATTTCACATTATATCACATCTTTATATGCTATTTTTACTGTATTTTTGATCAAATAAATACAGCTTTGGTCTGCCTAAAAGACTCCTTTCAAAAACATTACCATGTAAAAGTTTGTGGTCGGTAAGATCTTTTAGTATATATTTGATTTCTGAGTTGTCAGCAATCAAAAAACCTATTGATTTAAATCTATTTTTCTGTCTTTTACAAATTCATTAATTGCTTTACATATTGGTCAGATTGTGGGAGTTGCTCTAGAATGAGCTGCAATGTGGACCAGACGTTTAGTCAAAGTTCCAGCTATGCAAGGCTACTTGTAATCTTCATGGCTTTTAAACACAGTCATGTTCTTTCAAAAATAATTTACTATCAAGTAAAACTAGATTAATGGAAGTTAAACAGATTTAGGCTTTTTTAAAGATCTGAATTTGCTATATCTAGAATCAGAGCTCAAGGGAGGATGACCTCACCAATCTTAAGATGGTCCAGTACTACAGTCTGTCAGAAGCCATTATCTACTGCATCGAGATGGCCTGTGCCCATATGAAAGTGCTGTGTTCTGCATTAAGGGTCAGCTTACACATTTATTGACGGACTGAAATTCAGTGTCAGTGCCAGGTCATCAGGGACCTGTCAGAGCAGAGAGGAAAGGTATATAGTATGTGTCGAGGATTTATTTTCCTCTTTCAGTGTAAATATAGACACATACACGATTGCACTTAAATTAAAGGGGTAGTCCACCCAAAAATGAACATTCTCCTATTATTTACTCATCCTCATTTCATGAATAATGACGACAGAATTTTCATTTTTTTCCCTTTAATTTAAGGTAAAAGTTGATGAAATTGTTCATCAACTGTCACAAAAATATTCTTTTTTTTTATTAATACATAACTAATCCTCTGTCTTGTATTCTGTTTTAGCTCTCATTCCAATATCCTTTAATCAGTCAATAACACTCTTTCTCTAAATGAACACCAGCATAAATGCAAACACATTAATTTCTGTGTCACCTGAGGAAAATCAATAGTGAATCCCAGGATCATTGCTGAAGTGAGGTTACAGCAATGCCGAGCTGGATGAAGGAGTGTAGAGCTTAATGGACGAACCCCAAAAATGGGTTAATGCATTCGCAGCTCATTGATATTATCGACATGCCCCATTTCCTTACTGAAGAAAGGGCTAGTTACACATGGACAGTAATCCCAGACGTAATCCCCCCGTGAGATTTAATGCCCATTGGAGACGTCTGAGAGGAGGATCACAGCCGTAATTCCATTCACAGTGTGAACACTACAAGTTTTTTAACAGTAGATGAGGTTTTTAGTGGCATATGTTTGAGTGAAATTCATCTACTTTTTATGTCGTTTTTTATTACAAATTAATTTTAAAATTTCTGTAATTTAATTCAGACTTATCATAACATTATTATTTTGCTGCTTTGCAAGCACTGGTATTTTCTGAAGGAAATACAAATCTACTTGCACCATCAGATGTCACTGTAACATCATTGCTGTTGATCTAAGATTGAATCTCCTGTCAATTTTTCTTGGTTAAATTTAAGACGGCACAAGTCATGTTCAGTGCAAGAAATAATTTACTTCTGTGAAATTTACAACAAAAATATTTATGGAAAGGCAGGGTGGGTATAATTTGAGAGAAGAATTAAACTTTAAAAAGCTTAAAATAAGAACAACTTTAAAACTCTATTTGTGAGGTGAGGTTGTGGAATGGTTTGGAGCAGGTGTTAAAACATTGCACAAATAATAAACAGTTTAAAAAGTTGTATAAAAATACCCTATTAAAAGGATATGTGGATGAATAGAGGTGATTGTGAATGTGGGTTATATGTGGGCTGCACAAATAATCGAATTTCTAATCGTGATTACAATTATGGATGCCACAATTACATAATCATTCAAAACGGCAATTAATCGTTTGAAGTCCACTTATGTTATTCTGCGTGCTTAAGATGTGTTTTTCTTTTTCTTACTACCAGTTATCTTAAGGGTTTTCCCATTGTTTTAATTTTAGTTTTAGTATAACATTATAATACCATTCATATTTTTCATTTTTTTATATAAAGAAACCAATCCAATGTATAGTATAGGCTTAATTAATACTATAGAAAAGCAATAAAAGTTTTTCAGTTGTGTTTTCAGCTTTATTTTCATATAAAAATATGGCATGTAGTTGCTTCAAACAATAGTGTAAATATCATTTACACATTAAATGGTGTAAATTGTGATAATCGTAATTAATAATCGCAAATACAATTTTAAGGGAATAATCTACAATTATTATTTTTGTCATAATCGTGCAGCCCTAATGCTGGTTGCATTGGGATGTGTGATTATAGGGTGACCGGTTGTTTGAGGTAATCTGTAGACATTTGGTTGGTGTTTAAATTACTGCATAATTGTTCTCTTATAAGGAATATGTAATATATAATGATACAGATGTAACAGATTTAAGATATACTGGAACGATATAGAGTTGTATAAGGGGTGGGAAATATAACAAGCTTTTGCTTCATCCCGCTCCGTTTCCGACTTGTAATTATTGTTTGCAGGACTTTGTAGATATGGTTTTTCCTTAGCTATGTTGCCGAATGATGGAGGCTTTTGCCCAGCGTTACTGTCAATGCAATCCCGGTGTCTTTCAGTCTACAGGTGTGTGCGTGTTTGAGTATATATAATAATGCTCTGCAATAGGTTGTAACAATATAAAAAATTCAGTAGTCAATACTAGTGATATTTCATGAATTTTAAGCAGAAACAAATATGTTGTTGAAAAAATATATAATCCCAAAATATTAATATAATAAATAAGACTAATATTATAATATTATTAAACTATTAAATTAAAATATTGTTGTGTAGCTTTCATGTTTTTCTTAATAAAATAAATATTGTTTTAAATTCTCAAATTATTGGCATAGTCTTCACTGCATGATTATTTATTTTATTTTATTTTATCAGACTATTGACCAGTCATTGACAAATTTAAAGAGTTTATTTTACTTGATACCAAAGTGCAGAAAATGACACTGATTATCTCAATCCAAAGCTGCTGTTTACCCCAGAGACCCAGTCCTTCTGCAATTTCCTTACACCCACACCTACTCAAACATGTCTTGAGCTCTCTTCATAAATTTCCCATGCTCTTGGCCATGCTAATATGCTTGTAAAGAGTGCCACTGATGTAGAGCACTTCCATGCCGCCCACATGTTGCTCTGAAAAGTAGCTACACATGGCCTTTCATGAGCACTTACTGCATTTTATCAAGAGAAAATTCTAAATCGGACGTAAATATTCTCCTTTGGTTGCTAAGAAGTTCCTAGCAACAATAGTTTCTTCAATCATTTCATGTAATGAATATAAATTTGAGAGGTGTTGAGGGTGTTATGAATGTATTCATAAACTTATTGTGGCCTGCGAGAGGCTTGCAAAGTTGGCTTAAGCACTATTTGGACGCTAATTGTTTCTCAGCATGACATCTGTACAAGACATTTAGAATGACTCAGAGTTTAAACTCATGCTTTTGGACATCAAGTGTTTACTACATTTGGGCCAATTCCTACATACAAACTCCTGTAAATGCTAAAATGTCTCTTTGCAGATACATGTTATGTGCTTTCATTTGCAATCATCATGTTGAACACAAGTTTGCACAACCCTAATGTGAAGGACAAGCCATCTGCAGAGCGTTTCATAGGCATGAACAGAGGCATCAATGACGGAGGAGATCTGCCAGAAGACCTGCTCAGGGTCAGTGTCCCACACAGTTCTTTATTTTTGTAATTTGTAATAATTTATTCTGTTTATACATTGTTATTATTATATATTCGTTTTGATGTATTTTTTATTTTTTTATCCTCTCTTTTATTATTTTTTTTAATTTTATTATTTACTTATTTTTTAGCTACAGGGTTTGATAATACATGTATGTGCTCTTAATTCATAGAAATTTTCATTTTTTTATTTTATTTTATTTTCTGACTATCAGGCTGACCATTGACAAATTTAAGGCATTTATTTTCGCAATATATTTGATTTCTTTTTATAAAGTTATGCTAGTAGCAATGAAGTTTTTTTTATTTTTCACACAATTTTAAGCTCTAAATACAATTGGTTTAATTTTGAAGTACAACTCAATTTAAACGCTCCCGCAGAACCTTTACGAGAGCATTAAGAATGAGCCCTTCAAGATACCAGAAGACGACGGCAATGACCTCACGCACACGTTCTTTAACCCTGACCGCGAAGGCTGGCTGCTCAAACTGGGTGAGTGAGTGTTTTTCTCTGTTCGGAAGATAAAGAAATGGGACTGGATGTACATTAACAGGCCCTAAATATAAAGTGTCTCATGAACATCGTAAGTAGAGCTGTGAATTGAAGGTCTTACACTGTGTAATGTAATAGCCAAGAAGCATGAGGCCAAATGTTTTATAGTCCAAAGCTAATATAAAAGAGCTGATACTACCTCCTTATTTATCCACATGCTGCTCAAATTTCAGCTCAGCCTGGATTTTACACCAGGCTGACACACAAATGTTTTATTATAGCCTTTTGTTACAATATTTTTCTGATTTTCATAGTTAATTTCATTGTTTTCTTTCTTCCACATTTGTTTTTTTTTTTGGTTTGATGTCTTTCTTCAGGAGGTATGTACACTGGTTTCCTTTAGCTAGCTCATTAAGCTATGCTTCAAGGTGCTTTGCGCTTTCATTTACTCCATTTGTTTGTCTTTTTTTTCCAGTTTAATTTAACAGATATTTCATTTTATCAAAATGAAAGTGTCTGAGTCTGTTTGCCTCATTTGAGTTTTAACTGGTGTGTCGTCGCTGCGCTGTTGTGCCTTGCTCATGATGGGCTTGTGATTTCTGTGAGACTCTCAGCCAGCTTTCTCCATCTTATTGGAGATCAACGTGTCTGTTAAACAGTACTGTCAGTTGGTCTCTACTGCACCCATGTGGTCAGTTTAAGCACTGCTTAATCTGCAGCCTTTACAAGCAGTTGTGTGAATGCTACATGTGACTGCACATTTGTGTGTAACAATGTTTGTTTGTGATGGGGATAGCACAGGAATTATAGGAGATGATTTAGACCAAGCACAGCTGATTTAATGGTACAATATTTTTGCAGTTTGTAATGAGATGTAATTGACAAAGGACTATTTTATTAATTCATTCAAAATCTTTTAAAATTGTTTTTGTCCTCATTTCTAATATTTTATTTTATTTTTACTTTATATCTGTACTTTACCTTTTTTAATTTCTAAATATATTACTATTTAATATATTTATATTATCTTAATTTATCTTATTATTATTAGTTTTTGTAATTTTATATATATACAGTGGGTACGGAAAGTATTCAGACCCCCTTAAATTTTTCACTCTTTGTTATATTGCAGCCATTTGCTAAAATAAGAGTGAAAAATTTAAGGGGGTCTGAATACTTTCCGTACCCACTGTATATATATATATATTAGCAACAGAGGTTTGATTAGCATGCTGTGCTTTAGCTGCTAGAAATATTATTGTTATTATATTTTAGCAATAGTGGTTTAACATTCTGTAATTTACATTGTTATATTGTTCTATTTATATTTCTATATTATTTTATTTTATCCTCACCAAATTTGTATTGTTGTTACTTATTATTAATTATACCAATTGTATGTG